ATGTCTAATTTTAAATAGCTTATTTTTTTCTGACTAGGAGAATCAGGCCAAGCCAAAAGTATCCTCTGTAAAAATAAATAAGTCATAACATTGCAACTCAGATAATTTATTATATTAATCTCTAAAATTGTGTTGCCCCTAACATTATTTTGGTGTGCTCTATAATAACATGATGCCTCAAAAGCTTAGTAGGAAGTTTAAATTAATTTTCTGTAAATTAAGCTTTGAAATATCTCATTGGTGGAGTTACCTGCTGAGTTTCTGCTGTCRTTGTTGTCTATAATGTTTATGTCCCCAGGGAGAATACATGTCCTGCTCTAAAGTGTATGCACAGGATGCACTGCCCTAGCAGCCTGAGGGATAACATCCATTACTCTGTTTTTCCAAAATAYCTAAAACTTCTTGAGTAAAATATCTGTATTCTGATACTTTAGGTAATAATCCTATTGCATCTCTSTTAGCAGAGCAGTGTAATGATTCATCTTTGTCAGTGGGACAACCAATGAAATTATGCTTTAAAACCATGGGAGATTTCTAAACGAAATCTGTATCTTCTCATATAGACAGGAGAAGGGTTTATGAAATATCCTGGATCATACAGTTAGTAGCAGGGTAGTGACCCAGAAAAGAAAACACATTGTGCTGGAACAGAAATAAGGTGGTTGGCCAAAGAAGAGGTTAGCAGATTTATGGAAAATACAGATATAACAGTATAATAATCTGTGAAACTGGAAACCTGCTCAGTTAGCTGCCATACAATTGTGGGRAAAGCTCTGATATCTGGAAGTATCAAGTTGGTTGAAGCCAATCTTTTTCTACAAAGCGTAGAGATATTTAAAACTATGTAAAGAGAAAGGCTGGGATACACACAGCAGGGAGTCTGTCACTGTTATTTGTTGTTTTGAAAGATTTTTCCCACCAGAGTGGAACTTGGGTGACCAATAGCCAAGAGCTGACCATCAGAAATAAAATAACAAAACAAAATTCGCCACTGCCAAGGTACACTGTCCCTGGACATCAGGCTTGGCAGGAATTCTGCAAGTTCATGGCCAGCATTTCAGCAGAGTGAACTTTGGTTTTCAGCACATTCCACACCCGAGGACCAGCCTTGTGGACAGAGCAGGCAGGAATTGGCAGCCTGGCTGTAAAGGTTTGTCCTCACTGAGAGCAGGACCCAGTTCCCATGATGAGGACAGGCAGTGGCTGGAAYAGATCCTTTGGAGAGAACCACGACATCCATGCAGTGAATGCTTGAGAGAAATGCAATATCCAATTCCCCACAGGCCATTTCCAGGAGAGAAGCAAGCCCGGGAAAAACCACTTTGTATAGAGCTCTTCTGCTAAAGACTTTCAGACAGCTGAAAACTTTGCTGTTCTKCTGGAAAGCATATCACAGCTTAAACATTAAGAGACCACAAGAGGACACTATGGTGCCACTTACCTTCAAAATTTATTTACTTTAAGGAACTTCTGCTTCACTTGTAAAATTACTGATAACATTTTTGATACACACAATAGCCATCTCTACAAAGATACCTTAATCTCATTTTTAGAAACTGAAAAATTACRTAGTCTTTGAGATACCTTTTTTTTCTACTCACCCAGGTTCTGTACATTCAAATAAGAAGAACTGTATMAAGGTTTTCTACAACAAACTTGTTATTAAACATGGCAGCGTAATAATTTATAGTGTAGAATTAAGATGATGGAAAAAATACTACTCAGGGTTTTGGTGTGGTTTTTCCTTTTATCCTTTTTTGAAGAGATCAATTTTCAGATSGGTTACATTTTAAGCATGGGTAAATTTGTCATGGTATATTAATTTTTAATAAAGGGCTCAGAGAATAAACTGAGCACAGGCCTAGACAAGATTCTTGAGATGCTGAGTTTAGCTACAGGAGGAAACTCAGGAATATTAATACAAATGGACTTTTCAAAGCTGTATTAAACTTTTTTCAAATCTTTGTACTCCAGAAAAAGGAACCTTCTTTTGAATTGTCAGATGAAACCTGTTTTAGCTTCAGTTTTAATCTTACTTATTTTGATCTTTGTTTTGGTTCTCAGCAACAAACCTCAGGGGAACTWGAATTCTTGTTTCCTGGGCTTTATGCTTTCCTTTCATAGCAGAATTGACGAAATTAATGTTTTATGAAAACAAATAGACCAGGTGCTGAGAAAGGGCCTCAGAGGAAAATGCCCATTATACAGAGGAAAGAATCATCTTAATGGAGTTCAAAAAACAATTTGGGGAGAAGCAACAGCAAAAAAAAAGAGCAAAATTGARTGCCCTCATTTGAGTTCTGATTGTTGAGGCCCGAGCCTTGATTAGAAGCAGCAACGTTTGTCTGTTGTAAGATAAATGCTCGGCTTTGTTTACTTAGGTTGTATTTTTTTTCCCCTCCACTATTTGTTGTCTCATGACAGAAGCAACTGAACCAAGTCCAGTACTTCTCTGAGGTCACAGTTTTTGGAAAGAGGGGTTGGTTGTTGCTTTTGCTTTGAAAAAAATAAAAAGTCATAATGAAGTTATAAATAAACGTGAAGGTTAGTGAAAGCTTTTCCATTTCTCTGGTTTCAAAAGAAAAAAAAAAAGATAATTATGATAACATCAAAGAACAATTCCCATGTCAAGTTGTTGTAGATGTAAGGCTTGTAGATAAGATAGCAAGGAAAAAAATCAAGACTACTTAAAAAACAAAGAAAGAAAGAAAAGAAAAGAAAAAGATAATTCTTGTACCACTGAATCAAGCCTTCCAGAACAGTCCAAGCAGGGTTGTCCAAGATCACAGTCTGTTCTGAAAACAGTTCAGCAGATCAACCAAAATACTGCTCTGGTCTGCAAATTAAATCCACGAAGTCTTATGATCAAATGAGTCTTACGAGCCACTATTAGTGGGAAGACTTTCCTGGTTATTTAATGGTTTTGTAGTTTAAACATGTTRCATTTGCAGAATTTGAAGCAATTTGATCATTTCCATATGGATAAATCCAAAGCAGAGTAAACAGAACCTCTCTTTTCAACAGCAAATGGAAGAAATCCAAGTTGCAGTCTCACTCTGCTTTTTCACTCCTCCCCTAACACTGAGCATGGTTAACCCAATCACTGACATGATCAGCAGGAAACTCATCCCTTGAAAGAGGAAAACAGTTGATAGCTAGAGCAGCTTCCTGAGCAGCTTGCACAATGAGCAGGGCTGTCTCAGGGACTGGGGAGGCCAAGGAACAGAGCAGCAGCAGCCAGAGCTGGCACTGGCACGGGCTGCTGTGGCACTGCTCCTCGCTCAGAGTGCAGGGATACCCGGCTTTCAAACCTGCTTTTCCGTGTAAAAGCAAACAAAGTTAATCAATTTGTATTCCTATAGGTGGATAGACTTTATGCACAATGTTTGCTGATGCTGAAACAGAGAAATGTGCTGGTGTGSTGCTGGAGCAGCTCAGTGACACGCAAGAAGGAATGCAGATGTGAAGCACTGGCACAGCTGGGTGGTCTCTGTGCAGTGTAAAATCTGCAGGAGTCCTTCCACAGCCCAAACARGGCACCTGCTGGTGCAAGCTGGATTCAGGAACCAAACTACTCAGATTTTAGATAACAGRGCTGTCACGTGTGTCAGAGCAGCAKCAGWCTTTGGAGGTTTGGTTTCTAGCATCAGCACTTGCCCAGATGAGGCAACTGGGAGCTGAAGTGATTTATTTCTGTTGATGCTGCAGCCCGTTAGTCTGAAAAAGGATAGTACTGGGGGAAGGGCCTGGCGTCAACCTCTTAGAATCAAATCAATAGTCTGCATCAATATTATGCCTGCAGTTTTTGGCTTTTCATATCACACATGTAGAAGTGAGAGCCTTCAATTAAAATGTCTTCAACTTTGGGTCTTTTGAAGATCAGCCTTCACAGTAGATAGATTTTGAGATTTACAGAAATAGAAATATTTCCAGAATTCATATTAGCATAGCTCATTATTTAGAAGAGGTAAGTCATAACTTGTTTTCTTCCATTTGGCAGCCAAGAAAGCTTATTACAAAGTTTGTATCTCTCAGTTAKATCTGGTACTTCACTGATACCAGCAGCCATAATAGAATTGTCAGCTGAACTTGAATGCATTTGAATTWCCAATGCAAATGGCTGTTATTAATTGGGGCAGGGCAAAGGCATTCAATTGCAGCATGAATCATGCTCCCATTGGGAGGCAGAAAACACAGTGGAATGGTTTTATGCTTGAGCTGTTACAAATGCAGGGTTGTGACCATGACCATGAGTCGCTGTCGGGGCTGGCGACACTGGCACCAGAGTGAAGGGTCACTGGCTTTTCTGAGAGAAATCACAGCAGAATCTTACATGACTTTACTTTTGAAATTAATTTCTTATGAGATGCCTTTCTACCGTGTTTCAAGCTGTGTGATCATTTTTGATCATTTAAGAAAAATAAATTAGCTGCATCTATTAAATAAKCTGGATAACATGTGCATGACCAGTGCACAAGATTCCATGTGTTGATTTTGCCTTCTGATTTTGTTTCACACAAGCAGCTGGTTTGAAGCTGAATTAACATTGTAACTGGTAGTGGAAAAGGGGCTTCTAGATCTTCTCATATCTGTGGGAAGTGCTGTGAGGCAGAGGTTATCCTAACCCTGTGCAGGTGACCCGGCTGGTTCCCCATCTGCCTTGCTCTCCTTGCCTTGACAGCCCGAGAGGGGAATTGCTGCAGGGAACTCTGTCATCATGAACTCACTGCACTGCCTGATCCCTTTCCATGGGCACTGCTTGGACAGGCCCAGCAGTGTCTGAGTTTAGATGGGGCTGACTGCCTGCATCCAGGATGCTCTAGGATTAAACCTACTTGAATTTGTCCTGCCTGCCATGGAAAGGACARCCCTTCCCTCTGATATCAACCCAGAGTCCTCATGACACCCCAGCCTTCTTTCTGCCACAGGGCTGCATTGTTTTGTGAGATTACACCAGTGTCCTTACACAATTTAAAACAATATTTTATTGAAATTTCATGTCTATGTTTTGCCACAAGATTACAAATTGCTTATTTGCACAAGCAGTCAACAAATAAGYGCAACACATTATAGATAAGACAAGTCATATCAAAGTATTATCTCTGTCTTTAATAAAAAGAATATATGTATTTCATCCATGCTATAGTATGGGAAWATAAAAAAGTAAAAATTAGCAGTAGTAAAGTGAACACAGTATAAAGAAAACAGCTGGAAGGAATAAATTCAAGAATGYAATGGAACAACCATCAGAGTACTAGTTCTGAGAAAAGAGACCATGGGTGACAATTTTGCAATGGCTTATGACCCTATTAGAAGAAGCAGTGATGGGAAACAAACCCTATTGGGTTTTCCTATGGGAAATTTGCCCTATTGAATTCATCAATTTACCAGCAAAACATGTTCTGATGCCAGTCAAGCAAAATCAGGGTGGCCAGACTTCTGAGTCTGKGCAGTAATTCCCTTTTCTACATGCATAACCAGAATCAGTATTTATTGAGAAGCTATTCTTAAAAACTTGGCTTGTATGCAGCTAGATTGTTCTACATGACTTGTGAAGAATTTGGTAACGTACAGGAGTATAATTAGAATATATTTATCAAGAACATCTTATCGAAAGATGTTAATGAAGCTTAATTTTGAAACTATAAAAGAACAGGGTCCTTCCAGAAACCCTGTTTGTATGCAGAATGCAGAAATGGATGGTGGGAACAGTCTCAAATGCCTCTAGAAAAACATTCTCTTGCTGTTTTTCCATTCTATTCATGCCCAGCCTTCTCTTACAGCTATTAAATACTTTGTGTGTTCACAAATACTTCCCTTAGATCAATTACAGGGCTTTTAGTCTACACTAAGGCTAAGTTCTCTAGATGTCATTATCAGTAAATAAAAATCAGTATCATAAAATTAACAGCAAGTATCGTGGGAATGCATTTACCAGCAAACACTGGGAACTGACCCCTCAAAGATGTTGTGCTGCCATCTTATAATTTCATCATGAATCTCGGTATATTTGACTKAAATGTCTATTTTGAGCCTCAGAARAGCAGGTCTATCTCAGTCCATGCTYTTCTCTACAACAGTGGYTTCTAACCTCACAYACCTTGTGTATTTCAAAATGCATTTCAAAGGCCAAAACTGCAGATTTATAATAAAAAGGGCTCTGTCTAATCTCATGTCTATGTCCATTGGCCATGGTCTGATTTTAGCCAGATAGAATAAAAATAAAATAATAAAACATGTTACTGATAAGGATAATTGTTTAAATCTCAAAAGATTTCTACAACCCTCTTGTAAGTCAGAATTCCTGCTTTGTCCTGGCTTATTCTTGCTCCCATCCTCGTGAATATACTGCAAACAGCTGTCCCCAAATTATAGAAAACTATATACAATGTGGCCTGGTCACCTGCACCTGAATGCAAGAGGTCTACCTCCACCCTTCAGTAACTGTCCAGTTGACCACAGTCCTGGTCAGGATTCAAAAATAAGRTTTAGTACTTCAGGATGGGTCTCTAAAGCAGTGGGAGGCAAGCAGCCCAAACTGGAATAGGCTTGTCATTGATTTTGTCATCTTAAAAATCAGAACAAAACCCCAAGGAAACCAAAAAAGCACTCTTCTCCATAGGGCAGCCATCAACTATTGAYGAAAGTTGTATGATTTAACAAGAAGTAATATTTGAAAATGCATTGGACAGATGTCTTAATCACAATCTCTAGTTCTTGTGTGGAACTGCTGGTTCTGGACTCCAGTATTTATGCCACAATACCAATAATAAAACTATGCATCAAGTATTATAGAATATACTTTTTCTCTTTTAACAGTGTTGGTCCTGGTCTAGCSGAGATGCTACAGAATTTATCACTTCAAATTCTAAATGCTTTCGCTACATCATTTATAGTTTACATGAATTTTCAAGTATGCAGGTGAATTTATAGAAATTACATTTAAAATTAATTATAGTTTTCCATTAACAAAACACAAAAAGAGAAGTAGTTGCATTGCAGAGTACTCRATAAATCTCTCTCTAGACTCCACAGATGTTATGATACATAATACAGCATTAAACATGGTGCAATGGTCAGACTGAAGGGCTGTGCCACAGAAGGAAATCCAAAGGATGTGGCTGGCTGAGGCTGAGCCTTACGTAGGTCTAGGCGACAGGAATGTTGTACTTCTGGCAGAATTTCACTTTCACCTACGTCCGTTACTCCAAAAATGTTCCGCACCTACAAAAATTCAAAAGGTTGTCCCTGAAAGCCCGACTGGCACAACAGCAAAAGCTTTATGCGGCTGGTAAATTCAATGCTATTTCAAGTTACCCAACTCAAATTTTATTGCAAAACCACATTTGAACATGAGGAAATCAATATTGTGCTGATTGCATTCCTATGAAACACTTCCCAGAACTCAGCACGGATGTTACAGGCAAGAGTCACAGGTCTGACTGCTCTTATTCTTGGTTCTCTACATATGGAGCAAACAAACTCATGAGCCTTCTCCCCTGAAGTGAGCTCACACCCTCAAGACAGAGCTTCAACATCTCTAATTTAGAAGGGAAAAAATATTATTAAATCCCACTGATTGGTTAGGTGTGATGAATTTGAGCCTCTTCATGATGTCAATCTGCCACATGATGAGGCCAGCATTAGGTAGGTATTTTGACAGATTAACTGGAATAGAGCAAATTTCCCTGCTTTCTGTTCATCCAACAAGCCAGAAAAAGACAAGCAGAAGAAAAGTGAGTGAAGACAGTRAAAAGACAGTGAAATATATGTTGTCTATAATGCTTTGTGTATAGTATCTACTTAGTTATGCCTGTGAATAAATACAGTAGGAGGCAAGCAGCTGGAAGTTTCAACAGAAGCATTTGTAAAAGTTACCACTGAGGGGGCTCTACTCTTGTACAGTCTCCTTCCCTCCTCTCTTCTCATCCTTCTGGATTAACTTCTACCATTTATGTCTGAAACTCATTGGGATCTTGTTGTGTTTATGGCTGGTGAGCGATCTGGTCATGGCAGARGCCTCTTGAATAGCAGCCCAATCCCATGACAAGAATTAAATTGATTTGCAGGAGTCAACATTCCTTCCTGCCCAGTGAACACAGCCAGRCTGTGATCTGGTGCATCCGCAGTTTCTCCAAACCATGAAGTGATTCCATTTAGAASTCACTGATGTGTGCTTATCAGATTACTGCAGAGAGAAAAAGTYACAAAGAGCTTTGTCTGCTCTCTCTCTCATTTTCCCTTATTCTGTTAACGCTCTCTTGCCATCTTGGTTTCTTTCCCAGCATTTGGAATTACTGAATTAGGTGCTTACATTCCCTCATATCTCTCTCAYTGAATAAAAAAGAAACCYCAAAATAAAACACAAAAAAMCAAAAAATAAACCACGAAACACCCAAAAATAAACAAYGAAGCACCAACAGTTCYTCTTTCCCTCTTAGTAAGAATCAAGATTCCATTTGGGATTTTAATCTTACCTTTTCCACTTCCCTGAAGACACGGAGAAAGTTTTCCCTGAGGACCCCTTTCAGTTCAGTTTCATTCCATCCTCTTCTAAGAAGTTCCTCTATCAATGAAGGGTATTTAGAGACATCTTCCAATCCCTCAGGGAAGCTGTTGATAAGAGTCACACAAGAACACTCAACACACATCACTGAAAAATTGAAGAAAAATACTTTTAATTAGTCTTTTGCTCATATTGATATTGGAGTGAGCTCACTATGGACCCAGTTCTTCCTCTGAGAACTCAGCTGYCAAACAGAAACAGGACTGGGACACAACAAAAGGCTTTTTCTTCATCTAGGACCCAATAAACAGAACACAAATGGAATGAAATTGCACTTCTATACAGGCAAAACAACAGGATTGGGGGATATTAGAACAAAAGAGGAAAAGAATAACCAAAAATTCATGCATACGTTAGTCCACACTTTCCATCTGGCCTTTAGAGTAAGAGGAAACAGCTGCATCACAGATGAAGTTGGCACAATCCMCTCGTGTAACTGAGAACAAAAGGAAACCTGCAAACTCATGATGAGCTCTGGAGCTGCAGACAATTTTGTGAGCTCTTTTGTTTGCAAAGTATTTTTTCCAAAAAAATGTAATTAGAATATTAATATTGGTTTGAATTAACCCAATTGTTTAGGCAGTGGAAAGAAACCTATCTGGAGCCTTCCACTGAAGAATTAAAATAAGCAAAACTGTGGAGGGCCAGACAAAACTGATCTATGTCTTATGCTAATTCCTGTCAGAATAAGAATAATAAGAAATAAGAACCTGCAAAACCTGCATTAAACAGCTGTTTTCAATGGTATGTCCATGAGACTTTGACATGGTTTTGATTTTTTTTTCCTGTTCCATGAAAGTATGATGATAACCATCATCTCAAGAAATCTGTGACATTGCTTCCAGGAATTAAGATCTTAACGCCACCACCAATCTAACCGATGGTCTTTGAGAAAATGCATCTGATAAAATGTGTTCTTTTGCAGCAAACTCTGTTTTTATTTTGAACATTATAGTTTCAGAACTATCATGTCTTGGAACATGATACAATGGCTTTGTATTTGTATTTTACAGATGAGAGCCTGACTCTGACTTTCATTCCCAAGCAAGTCTGACTCCAGGAGAAAAACAAAAAAGAAAAAGGAGATGACRATTAAACAGAAAGATAAAAAGCAAAAAAAAGTTCAGGGTTACAGCTGCAAATGCCACCTAATCTGCATTTATTTCCTGTGCTGTAACAGCAGTAGCCCAAGAGTGAGGAGAAGTTCTGTGGTGGCTCTTCTAGCCCCAAGCACTTCCCAAGCCTCAAAAGCAGGAGTAGTTTCAAAGTATCAAAACACTTCATGCTGCCCTCGAGGACAGTGGAGGAAGGGGTTTTTCAGCCTCTCTCTAGGCTGAACCATTTACCACATAAAGGTTGAGGCAGCATTTCTGTCATTCATTTGTGGCTTTTGGAGAAAAAGAGCCTCTATCACTGGTTTTGTATGCACAAACCATCATCTAGAAAAGAYGATTGCAGAGTGCACGAGGATCCATTTCTGCATTTGCAGCACTGCTTCATACAGTTCTAAAAAGAAATGATTGTGCCCTTTTAAATTAATCAAAACCTGCAAAATTTAAGAAGCACATGTRATGTATGTCCACCTTTACCAACCTGTTTGCTCCATCATAGTCACCACCAATTCCTATCGATTCTGAGCCTGCTATTTTCTTTATATGGTCAAAATGATCTGAAAATAAATACCAAAGAAAACAACATCTGAGCATCCAGCAAAAAAGAAATATTACAGTTTGCACATATTGCCACTAGGAGACAGATCTCCTTAATTGTTCTTAATCAAATCCATTCTTAAAAAGTCAAAGGACACCCCATCAGGCAGCAATCTTCAAAACAACAGCTACACTGATTAAATGCAAATGAGGAAAGAGACATGATCATCACAGCACATTAATTCCTAACAAGCAGCCCAATTATACCAATCAAATTTTCATTATCCATTACATATCTATGTTTTCCACTCTTAATTATAAAGGCTTAAGGTGTTCTCCAGAAAGTAATGACTACTTTGGGATTAATGGTTGTTGGCTCCATTTGTGAGCATCGTGTCCTYCAGCTACACCCACACACCTTGTACCTCTTGTTATTGTTTAATGACCCTAAACTCAAAAAATACCTAGGGCTGGGCTGAGGTGTGGATGCAATAATCAAGCAGTACCATTTGCATGACCTTGAAAATGATGCATGCAYCAAGAAATTAGTAGAATCTATATGAATTCATAGAACCCACAAAAACTACAATATATTGACATCAAACCTGCAAGGGTAGAAACATTAACAGACTTCCTGCCACAGGCCAGTACGTCTGCGTTGAAAGTCACCATGATAATTCCCTTRTTCATCTTCTGAAAGATAGGAAGAGACAGGTGATGGGTGAACAGTCGTGTCCTGCAGACTTTGTGGGCGTCATGTACTGAACCTTCTACACCCATCCATCAGTGAGAACAGCAACACTGYGGTGGCAACACAATGCTTTCCTCCCTGTCCTTTCCCTGGGTTCATTTTACTTCATGTGGATTGAATCAGCAGAAGTGCCGTGACTACATCAAATAAACTGAACCAGAATTTCCAAGTATTGGCAAACACATTGTTTTTGTAGTCAAAGACTAAACATAACCCAAAGAAAATGTCTCAGAAGCAAATGTAAGCTGCTGCTCAGGGATCTGCTTCTAAATCAAATTCAGAGATGAGGAGGTGGAAAGAAAACASCATGATCTGAATGCAGAGGTTTGCTGCAGCCTAGGCAAACATTGTCGTTAAAACAAAAAACAAAAACCCCAAGAAGCAAAACCAACAAATTCCTTCCTCCAAAAGACAAACCCAAGGACCTTATCACTCACCAGTTGCTGGAGGATATCATCAGGAACATTTCTTGAGTGATTACAAACAGCAAATGCTGACGAGTGGCTGAAAATTACTGGTGCTTTTGAGATATTGAGTGCAGCTTTTACTGTGGAATATGAGGTATGAGATAAATCTATCAGCATACCCAGGCGATTCATCTCCTTTACCACTTCCTAAAAAAGATGTACAGACAACAGTGTCAGTATTAAATTTCCTGAAAGGAAGCTGTTAATTGATATATGTAAACAGATAGATTAATTCTGCAGCTGTCAGCTACTCATAAACATGCTGTGCCTGTATTGGTTTCTATGTACCTATCAATTTAATTGTASTTTATTCACTTCAGATTAGCTAGCACACCACCAAACTTAGAAATGCTCAAAACTTAGAAAACTTAGTCAATCTGAAATAAGTAATTTGAAGTGTTATTCACATCCCACTGTTTGCCCATATGAATTCATATATCTAATCTGGTTGTATTTCAATCTAGCACTTCTTTTACCTTAAGAAACATCACAGGGAATTTGGTTTGACTAAATCCTGATCACCTCCTAACCATCAAGAACTTCCAGTAATTAATTTTTAATKAGACTTTGCATTGAGAAGATATGGCCARGAGTTGTTAGTTGCATGACAGATTRCCCARATTAGCATTGAAAGAGATCCTTACTTGGCCAAATGCAGTCAGACCAGTAACACTAGGATAAAAGTTGTGTATTCCTTTAGATGATGATTCAGACCTTAAAAAGGGGAGTGAGGGAGGAGAAACATCATRTTATTCTGGAGAACACAGTATCAGCAGCTGAAACCTCTTACACTACACACAATAAAAATTATTACCATGTCACATAGCCAAATGTGGGGATGATGAGCTACATAACATGTATCTTGCTCAGACAGTGCTTTTTAAGTTCATAACTGTTTTCAGTTCACTAATGTTGATGTTTGTGAAGGAATTTAAGACAGGCAGAGAGGTGATTGTCAGCAATTTTCTGTTTACACAAAGTTCCATGAGAGAGCAGAGACACTGCAATGGCAGTTCCCTGTGCAGTCCCATGCACAGAATTGCCCTTTCCCTCAGTCAGTGCAAGAAGGTATTTTGTCAGTCCAGCAGAGAGAAGTTGCTAAGATTCTGATACAGGATCTCAATACCCATCTCTGTGAGCTCCACACAGGCCCTGAGCTTTCGAGCTGGCCAGAGGGGACAGTGTTGGAGGCTGCTGACTGCTGAGTYCTTGCACAGCATTTACCCTCTTTTATCTACATCATGTGCATTTTCAATACTTCTCTTTTAGTCAGTTTTGATCTGTGTCACTTTCCTAATATAGCAAAGGAGGTAGCAATTTTACCATCTTTGTGCTCTTAAACAGTTTAAAAGTGTCGAAATTGTGAGCATAATAAGCACTACAAAACAGATACAGTCTCCCACTCTACAYGTGGCAAATGATTTATCCCCAAAACCTATCACCTTGACTTGGTTCAAAGTCTTATCAAGTTTGTGTCTGAATCCATATTTCTCCCATCATGCAGCTGCCACTGCTTTGCAAAGCAGAGTCACACAAAAACATGCTCATGAGTTACCAAGGRGTGTTGCAGGAATGTGTTAAAGTCATGTAGCGAACACCCAAGTCATAGTACATCCTCAGTGTTGCCAAACTGCTGTCAATGGAGTGGCCACCTTCTACTCCAATCAAACATGCAATCCTTCTGCTGTCAGAGATACCTGRAAAACACAAGGGAAGGTAATTCCAAGGTAATTCCAAAGTAATTCCATGACAGATAAGAAGCCAGCTCAACCGAGCAGCAATTTTTTGTGTAAATTATAAGCACTAATACATATAATTTCACAGAATAGGAGCTTACAAAATACATATTTATATGGGAGTTTTTCCCATGACTGCAGTGGCCCAGGACTGTGCACAGTCAGTGGCTGTGGTTCAGAGGAAAATTTAGTTACTCATTAAAGCAGAATAACTTGCCTGCTTTCATCCCCCTGCACATACCTCCTGCAATCACATTTTTTTAAATTATTTTGCAGGAAGGAGCCTCACCTTGGGAAGTCACCACAAGTTCCAGCTCTTCATAGCTGTTACACATCCTCTTGACAGCATCGATCTGCTCTAAGGTCAGGCGCACAGCATCCTTGTTCTGAGCGCTGCAAAGAACATACACTGACCAAAACTGAAAGAGACATTGACAAGTAAACCAGATAACTTGTGTTTTGACTTGGAAACTTTCATWTGCTCATAGTTCAGGAGCACAGACCAAAATAACTTCCTGCAGTTTGCAAGGGAGTTGCCTCTACAGCTTTTCCCCCAGAGAAATGTTAAGATGCAAGGCAAGAGCACCCACTCCAGACATGGTTAAAGCCTCCTGACCCACTCAGCTACACCACAGTCCATGCAGAAAAGCAGATGTAATCTTCCTTTAAATTATATATCACAAAACAAATGCTCCTGTTTTGACTAAATGTAGCTGAATTATAAAACCCAAACTTTTGAAACACAAATGTTATGAAACTATGTCTGTGGCTTTTCAGTTTTATTATTTTTTTCTTTTTTTGACATAACGAAATAAAATCAGGGGTAGGAGTATTTTTGTGATTGAGAAGGAAGCAAATGTAAATATATGGTCTCAGACTCACCGCCGTGGCAGTACATACCTGAGCTCCCACATAACCAGCCTGAAGTTTTGCAAGGTTTGTGTGGGTCTGGTTGAGTTCTCTTAAATTGACTCTACTGAGTCTATTTTGGTAAAGTATTCTCAGCTGCAGTACCAAGTCATTGTGGCTAGAATGGAAAACAGATAGGTCTTGTGACAGAAATAAGTTGTTATCTTTCTAACCCAAATGTAATTTCTTCCAATGTTCACAGTCCCTTAAACCATTAATTGCCAATAATCCTTGCAGCAATAGATGCCTGAAAGTCTCCCTTCTTTTCTGCCTTTTCTGCCTTTTCTGCTCCTCTTTTCCAGCCAGCAGGTTGGGGGTGTACAATGAATTGGGAGAGGACAGCTGGCCCCAGGATATTCCAGACCATATGGGTCATGCTCAGCACATAAAGTTGGGCAGAAGAAGAAAGGCATGGGACATTCAGAGTAATGATGTTTGTCTTTGCAAGAAAACATCATCTGTGATTGCTGAACACCTTAGTCATGGGAAAGTGGTGAATAAAATCCTTATTTTGCTTTGTGTGTGTCTTTTGYTTTCCTTATTAAACTGCCTTTATCTCAACCCACRAGTTTTCTCACTTCTCTGATTCTCTCCCACATCCCACCAGAGAGATAAGTGAGCAAGAGCTGTGTGAGGCTCTGTTGTCAGTTGGGGTTAAACCGTGGCACCCAACCAGAAACCCACCGTGGTGTTTAGAGTAACAGAATCCTACATTAAATATCCTCTGAAGCCAAATTCCTTCCCCATACATCACTGCAACAGTAGCTCACTGCTGTATTCTCATAGTCCGTGTCTCTGCTAATCTAAACACGTTCAGCATTCCCTCCTCTCTAGCCAGGACTCACAAAGAGGGAGCATTGAACATATTTCATATACCCATCGATTAAACGTGCATCTTGCATCAGCTCTATGGCTCTTTCTCTCATTGATTTCTCACAGCTGAATGGCACCGTGTCAGAAAAGAGCAGCAACAGCCACAGCAACTTTGCTGGATTTCTCTTCATTTCCATTTTTGCCACAATTGTTCRCTGATGACGATGAAACAGCAGAATTTCCAGACTGAAGTGGTTGTAGCATTAATAGTACAGGAAGCTGAATGTCTCTCCTTCTTATAAGGCTCGCATGAATTCTGACAGAGAAAAGAAAAAAAAAACAAAGAAATAATGGTAAACAGAAGGGAAAGTATCATTGGAATCTCTGAAACTGCCAAAATTTTAGGATTTTAATGTCTCTGCCTATTGTGCTCTTGCACATCTGACCACTCCTTAAAGGCTGCTGCTGCCACCAACTCACTGCTGAAGAGAACCAACTGCTCAGGCAGAGCTGGCAGCCTGAGCCTGACACACCCTGCCCTCACACCTCCCAAAAAGCAAAACAGCTCAAGAAGATTGTTTATTATATTGACTGGCCTGTTYTCTTTATGTGGGAAACCTCACACTGAAACGAGCACTATCCTGTTTTCTGAGAAAGTCCAAAAATGAGCTGCTACTGAGTGCCTTGCCTTCCTAAAACACACAGAACTCCAGATCGTTGTCAGAGGAAAATTGTTGAAATCCAACAATTTTTCAAACCTTAGCAAGCACAATATGTGCCCAACTTAAAAAGGGTCACTTCATGAGGAAATGTGTGTGACAACAGCTTCGAGAGTAACAGAGCACCTCCTGCCCTTTTTTAAATGCAGTACTCRAACACTTGGACAACAGTCAAAAACATTTTTGCAAAGAGATTAGAAATAACTCCTTCTCCATGTAAAGCAAATGTAAGATCTACCAGGAGGTAAAAATACCTTTCCAGATGAAAGACTGGGTTCGCCTACACCCCACCCAGAGTTATTGGCAGCATTGCCCATCAAGCTGAGAAGCACTCGCTGCCAAACTGGAGGCACATGCCCTCACGGGACAGAGGGATGATGCAGCAGCATGGCCACAGCTGCCAAATAAGGATGCAACAAGGGGGCTTTGCTCTTTTAAAATAGATGGATTTTAAAGGAATTTTCAYAGTAGAAAAAGGAAGTTTTTCTGTGTGCTTCTGTCATTTACCATCTTTGGAAATRTGGGCAAGCTGCCTGCCCCCTCCTCTCCTTTCCAGCAGGAAAGACCGGATCTCAGTGCAGAAGATTCAGTAAACAGCTGCTATTTAAGTGAAGCAAATCTCAGTTAGGAACGGCATTCCTTTCATTCTATTTGCAGTCCTTATTTTCCATTTTATTTTTCATTAAGACACTTAACAGCCATTACATTATTCCTCAAATCTGTTGAATAATTGTGCCAAATCAAATATACAAAATGCATTGAAATAGATYCTGTTGCTCAAAATAGTAACATATCCTGAGAAATGAAGAAGGTTCATCCCCTCCACAGTCCAGTTATGCTGGGATCTCATGTRGATAATCCTAGTGCTGCTCTGAATTACCTGCTTCAGATCATGGCAGCAGCTTTTTTGCAACAGACAACACAAGGTGACCAGAACCTTCCTTACTGACTACTGACAAAAGTATGAATTCTCCCTTTTCTTTAAATAATAATTTAGCATAATCAGTAAAACATAAATCGCAAACATACTTGCAGGAGCAGAACACATGCCCCATACTAAGAATCTTTTTTAGAAAAGATTGATCTCTGAAATTCAGGGTAGTCTTTCAAATTTTTTGTCAGTTTTTCTTGAAATTCCTTCTGCCATCACYAGCACTAAATCGTGATTCCTGATTCCTGACATGTCAGGTTCACCTCTTCTGCCTGGGAACTCCCTTAGCGCTGTGTTACAGTGCGTGATTTCCAAACTGCTCTTCCTTCCCTGCCTATGCAAAGATGCAATGAAGCTCCACCAAGTTCCACCAAGCAGTGAGAAAAYACCGTGCTTATTGCTTGAAACAGGGGTGGAGGGGAATAAACACAGTGATGTTTGGAAGGCATTTCAGGRCAGCTCATCCCAAACCTCCTGGGGAAAAGGAATCCTCTAGAGGCCGTGACAGTGCTTCCATACACACAGAACGGGGGCTGCCCACGTTTTTCCAATCTAAAGAGAGCASTTTGTGTTATTCTGGTCATGCAAATCACACGTTTTGAGGAACTGTGATTCCTAGAAACACAACCATTTTCAAAAAACTTCCCCAACAGCAGTGCAGTCTCAGAATAGCAGCTCTTCTTCCATAAATACACATCAGACATACACATGCACTGTGAGACCCAAAAACTTTAGTGGAACAGCACTTCAAGAGAAGTGTAAAGATTAGAGAGCAATCAGAAATGTTTTCTTTTCTGCTCTGTGGCAACCATAGAGATTTCCCTCAAATGTCAAAGCACAAATGCAGACTTAACCTTTTACCATAAATGCAGACTTTGTCACAACAGGGAAAAAAGTCCTTGTATCTCTAATCTAGAAAATGTTAAATTTGTTTATGGCAGCTCAGCATGCAAAATGTTAAAGAGAGAAGGTCAAAAAACTGCCAAAGCAGCAAAGTTCTGATAAGTTAGTACCGCAAATGCAAATTAGATTCTGTAGGCATGTTTTTGGTTGAAAATCCCTCAAGCCCAAGTACAGGACAGATCTGCAGCCTGAATCTGTAGAACTCAGATCCTGACAAAATTACTCTAAAGGAAAAACTAAGGTTTTATAGCTTATTTTCTGCTCTGTCCTCATATACATATAGAAGTCCATATAATYTGTCAGTTCAAAATGCTTATTGGGAAAGTAGTAAACCTTGTTCACACAATAAAACTGTTCTGATGCTCCAAAAAGACTGATACATATTGTAGGTTTTGGTCCAAATATTTACTAYTTTTTCATTAAGTCAACAACACTTTTCAGGAAGATTTTTAAGCAAGAACTATACCAATGTGTTCTTCAAGTGGTTTGACTGCTGAAACAAATTATTCTTATCTATACATTACGAAATCTCTATTCTCCATTTGTATGTGTACAAAAATGCAATTCTTCGTGGCTATAAGAATTTTCAATAGATTTGCCATATCAAAGCATCTTCTCAGTTTCATGCAAAATATTCTTTATACTTTGACAGTGAGAGTCACTTGCCTTTGAAACTGTTTAGGTTAAAAAAAAAAGACACATAATTATATCATCATTCAGAGATCACCTATTGAAACTCAAAGGAGTATTGCAAGCACTACACAAAATTAAGAACATGGTATATTTGCACCCCTGTTTAAACAACATTTAAAATACGAAACCCACACAGCTTTTCCCCATGCTAACTGAGCAGAGCTGAGAAGTGGAAGTTGACATGAGATTTATAACTTTTCATTTGTTTATCTAAAGCAGTTACCTTCTTCAGATAATGCAGCCGAGTCKAAATCCGCATTCAGCTGTGTTGGATACAACAGCTAAATCTTGGCACCAGACCTGCCTGGCATCACAGCAGCAAGCGAGGAACACCCTCTGCTTCTTCAGCTCGTGTCACAGGCAGCACACACAGCAGGCATTTGGAAATTGCCACTCTGTGAGATGCAAGGTCTGTGAGTGAGCTTTCAGCTCAGTTACACCCACGTGGCGGCCCCAAGCCTTTCACTGTGCCTTGCTGAAAACCCAGTATTTCCTCCCTCTCGTGGCAGCCTGGCTGTGCAGTTCACAGAGCATCCCCTCCCTAGCAGCTGATGGGTTCAAATTGCTGCTTGTCTTGTTCAGAAACAGGTGCCTCTCACCCCAGGATAATTCAGGAAGGGATTTCTGGTGGGATGTTATCTAGTCCAGCCACYGGGTCCCAGGTGAGGTAACCCCAAAGGCAGATGAGGTTTCTCAGGCACCCATCCAGTGGACGTTTTGATCTCTTCGATGAAAAAGATTCTGCAAACTTTCCAGCCCCCTATTCCAGCTCTTGCTTATTCACATCGACTAAACTTAAGCCAATAAATGTCTCTGATCTGATTTCCACCTCAAACTGTGTCCTTATGCTCCAGAAAAGCCAAGTTCACCAACTCCCTGTTCATCAACAGTTTTTGCTGAGCCACTAAGCACCATCTTGAGCTTTTAAGAGCTCACCTCTTCGCAGGGTGAGAAYATAACTGATTTTTAAAGCTGCTAAAAGCCGAATGCTTAACTTGGTTCTTCTAGGTTTCTTCTATGATTTTATTCCAGTAGCCCTGGATTAGTGTAGGCAGCTGTCAGTGTATTATAATTCATACAATGGTGGCATTTGTGATGTGCATCCTTCCTGCAGAGTTCATCTGGCAGGACTGGTGTCTTAATAAATGTCCCAAGAGCTCTCTTTATTGTTCAGAGTGTTGCCACACAGCTGTCTGTCCCTGATAACAGCTATCCCTGTGTTTGTATCATGTTCTATTCACCTCACACATATTTTGCAGCAAACTGAGAAGCTATAAAATAACTGCAGCACTTTCACTGCAATCAGCTGCTGTCAGGAGACAGAGGGATAACATAATGTGTTGGAACTACATTTCATGCAAGGAAGGSTTGTTCCAGCCCAGGGCACCTTCATTAATTTCAGTGCCTACACATCCAAACCACTTGTGTTCTTGGCACTGGCACAGATTAAACCACACGTGACTACAGGTGGGAAAGCTGGGCTTTGTACGTGCAGGTGCCTCTTGCAGCAGGCACTTTTAACTGTAATTTGRTTTTTCATAAAATTCTTCTATTCTACCAGCTCCAGGCATCCACTACACTACATAGTAGCACCTCAGCATTTGCCATGGATATTGTTTTGTGTATGAATCAGCTTTAAAACCCCGTTGCAATGGCTTAGGGACCAGCCACATTGACATGGTATTCTGGGTCCTCTTATCAAGTATTYGAACTTGCTGTCTTGCTTCTGTCAATTTGGCATTTCTTGAGTGCACTTACCAGTGTTTTAATTAGAAACTGTTACAACAAGTTGGGAAGAGGAAATCCTGCATACCAGGATTTCTGTTTGCATAAAAATGGCAATACAAGCAGACTTTACTTTTGCAAGTTGAATTCCATCTGTTTCTTCTACTCATCTCAGCATGAGTTTCAGGCCCTAGAATGAAGGGAGTTCACACTTGGAGGAGGTGGTGGTRGGATGTTCTTGGGTAATTTTAATCTGTKTAAATCAGCATGGTTGCAGCATATYTCTYAGATAAAGCTTCAAGCGAAATGTTAATCTAAACTTGAGAAATCAAAGAGGTTAAGAACCAAATCAGTAAAAAATCTCTTTTTTCCATGTTGCTCTACTTTGTGGGTGCCTGAAGCTGCCCCAGATTCGCTGCTGGTTTGACCAGCACTCTGAAGTCAGCTCAGATGATGCCCTGCACTCTCAGGATATGTTCTGTTCAGGATATGTTCTGTGAACRTTCAGAACCACATCAACGGGCACCAGCCACCACACACAAAAGGAACAGGAAGTACAAAGATAAGTTTTTCTCTTCACGGAGTAAAGATTCCATGAAACACATCAAGATACCACCAAAGCTCCTAAGAAGGAAGTGAGAGTTGAACGTTGCCCTTTATAATGAACGCAGATACCTTTCAGGATGAGCACAAATTAGAACTATTCTGACACCCATCAACATCTCTTTTCAGCAGGTTTTTAAAAACTATCAAGGTTTCTGTGGGTTCTCCTGGCTCAATACTCTTACTGAAATAATTTCAGTAGTTTCTTGGAATGAAAGACGGAGAAAGAAGCAGCAGGGGAAAAAAAAAAGCTGCAATAAGCTTATCTAGTAATTTAAATTATGTTTATTTTAAAATAGTATTAATATTTACAAATGATAATGCCCAAATAGTGAAGCAAACAAAGCAAGACCTCTGTTTGTTTGGCTACCCATTTGTTCTACAAATATATCAGATGTCCTGTTTAACTCTTTTTATTCAAGCAAGGTGAAGATTCTGCCACGAGATGGCAGGAAATTCTCCAATAAAATAATATGTAATCTGTGATCTGATGATAGATTGCTAATTGGCAGAACTAGACACCACTTCTGAGAACCAAGATAAAAACCAGCTGCTTCAGATGGGTCGGCTTTTTAATTTGGAGGTTTTTCTCCCAAGGGAAATAAAAAGAAAAATCTTTTTTGAAAAGCCATTGAAGAGGTCACAAAAGCCTTGAGGATAGCAGAAGCTGTTGCCTACTCAGTTCTAAAATTTTATCCAAAAAGGTTTCCAGAAACAGTTACAAAAGGAAAAGGRRRAAAAAAAAGTKATTTCCCCACTCTGGATTGWCTTCTATAGAAACAMTTTTTTCCTGTTTAAAAGCAGAATTCTCAGGGCTCTGTTTCTGCCACTTCCCACTCCAATGTTTCAGAGCAAAGCCATTCATACCAGTTTAAAGTCGCTGCTGCCCTTGTGGCTTTAGGCACYCACAGCCACGCTGGGCAGTGAGCTCTACCGAATGCCAGCTTTCTGTTTTACACTGGTTTCTGAGRAGAGCCAATCATTTTGGTATCAATGAGGAAATCCAATTTAGAGCAAGTGTACTTARCTTCATTATTGCTCATAATAATGGGTTGATTGTTTTTTCCCTTGCTTTTCAGAGACTTTGCTTTGGGTTTTTTGGGGGCGATGCCAAAAAAWTTTCATCACTGCCTGATCTGAAGCTGTTATCCAGATAATCCTTGAGCAAAGCCTGGTTTCTTATTTATTCCTGTGCTCATGAGAAGATCCCAAYCACCTTTAGCTACAAGCTTGTCAGTACATGCAAGGATATTGGAGGAGGTAGGTTCTCACACCAGCTTTCCAAATAATCAGTTGTGTGCCAGTCTCTTCATTAGCAGTTCTGAAAGGCTTAAGCAATGACTTCTCTTTGATGTGCATCTGCAAACAGCTGTACTGGGCACACAGGAAAGTAGTGCTTATTTTCCTCCCCCAGAAGCATTATGAACATGAAATCAGCATGGAAATAAATTGACTGGTCGTGTGTCTTGTCCAGACAAAATCAAACAAACTGGAAACTAAGTAAAGTTGCTCATTCAGTCTGTCAGAGACTTTAATGAAAATCTAGAATTTGCTGCAATTGTTTTAAGCTAGTTGCCTCAGAATCTGACACAAAGCACAATCCTGGGCTTTTGAACATCCAGAGATGTGTGCAAATAAGAAATCCTAAAATAATATCTTTTTTTTTATGTAAGTATTAAGAAACTTCCAAATACTTTTGTCTTGGGATCTTTTTGTTAGACCAGAAAATTTATCAGCCTAGGATCTATTATTTCTGAGGCACTTTATACAACATATTKTGTTGCTTAAGAAGAGGTTTCTTTAACTGAGGAATTTGGCAGTAATTTGAATGAGTAGAYAGAAATTTGCCGTGGTTCTATTGGAAAGAGAGCTCCCTTGCAGCAATGAGACCAAATCACCATGGAAACTTTTTGCAAAGATGGTATTAAAGAGTAGCACATAGACTTCCATCTCTCCTTTTGTAATAAGCAGCATTTTGTGATACAGTCTGGAGTGAYTGAGTAAAGGACCAGGACTTTCTCAGAACTGTTGCAGAATTCTGTTATGCTCCAGAGCTGGCCAGATGACAGTACATCTTGTTACAGATAGTAAAGTTATAAGAGATGAATGGACAAGTGATCTCACCCAAACAGCTTGGTAAAGTCAGGTTTATATACATGCAGGAAAAAAAGATTTGTGAACTGGCCTTTAACCAGTTTCTCACCATGAGAAGCTAACGAAGTGTTCTCACATTGTCTAGAATGATCTGGTTTTCACATCAGGGWGGATGAAGCTCACACACTCCACTGATGCTGTAGTGTCTCCTTACCTTCCTTCRTGTAAACACCAGGTCTGGTGTTGAGCAGGGTGCAGCACCTCTCCAGGGTGAGGCTGTGCTTCTGGCTTTCACAACACAAGTGTCTCAGACTCTGCACTGGGATCTGATTGTCCTTTGTATAGAGTCACATATGTATTTACAAATATATCACATTAGGACACAGATTAAGACATCTTGTTCTTCTGTGCTTAGGCCAAACTCTGAGAGATCTCTCACATCATTTTGTGTCCTCTCCTTCACAGAGGAGCTGTGCACAAAACCACAGATGCACACAGGAAGAGACACATTGTCTTCAATGTGATGACATAAGCCAGAACAYGTTACTTATTCTCTACAGAACGCTAAATAAATGTCAACAAGCATCCTGTTTTGAAATTTAGCATGGTTTTGACATATTCTTGTGCTGATTTTACACATATCTACCAACACTGTATGCTAAAGTCTTCTCCCTCTGTAGCTTTATTCCAACATAATTTCTGTTAGAGCTAAAACCATAATTTTTTACTCAGTTGGTTGGCAATAAACGCATAACAAACTGTAAAACAATTTTACCTGCTTTACCAAAAATTAAACTGCAGAAGAAAAATTGCAAACAGTGTGGATTTTGGCTGTTTAAAAGTTGCTGTTTTATTTTTATTATAAATTCTAGGTAAGGCAAAAGCAATTTGTAGGGTATTTATAACAGCTGTCTGTCCAGAAGGACAACAGGAAAAAGTTTTATGAGGACATAATGGCCAGAATGAGATACATAAGTTCAATTCTTATCATTCATCCAAGASACTCTAAGGTTACAGCTCACAAAAAGTGAAAGGATTTGCTTATTTC